AATCCCTCCTGTACCACCTGCTGCCCAAGTGACCCAGGGCAAATTGTTGAACCATTTCAAGGTTTATTTGACTCACCCATAAAAAGCAGAAAAACAAAAGCCTACTTTATAGATTTGATGTGAGGATAAAATGTAAACCTTTAACAGGGTGCCTGCTTGGCCTATAGTAAGCACTCAATAAATGCTAGCCATCCTTATAAATGCTGTTGTACGGAAATGTGGGCTGCTATAGAGAACATAGGAACTCCCTGCCTCGGCCCCAGTATAGGGGAGTAAGCATACCAGGCTGAGTAAAGTGGTGCTCTATGAAGACAGGATTCAGGCATTTCAGGGGGAAGAGACATCAAGGACAAAGGAAGAGGTGGGATTCCAGAACCTGTTCTGGGAGTAGAGAGGCATTGGTCAGGTGGGTTGAGAAAGGGTAAGGTAGTGGAAGCTCTGCTTGGTGAATTAGATTGAGACCCAGTCATGGGAGAGCTTGAGAACCACACTAAGCAATTAACTCAGGGGGGTTAAAGTGGCCTTAAAGTATGAAAACGGGTTGCTTTCCACATTTATGCATCCTTCTTTTGTAGACCCTGCTGAGTCTAGTTGGAGTCAGAAAAAACTTGGAACACTCATTGCCAGGCAAAGATATAACCTACAGCTGTCTGGATTAGAGGGTGGTTATTTTATAACTTTGGTCATTTAACAATTTGAGAAGGATTCTAGACAGCCCACCACCCTTATTTGTTCATAAAATTTTTAGTAAGGAAAAATTATGGGCATGGTATCATGTCCTCATTGGGAAAAAAGAGACTTGTTCCTTGCATGTTTCCGAGGCTCTAGGGGGGTTTTGGAGAGGGAAAGCCCGTCTTTACCAGAGCTACAGGTAGGTTATTAATTTGGGGCCCACAAATTATTAGGGCAAGGACGAAACTTACAGACACGTGCTACAATTCTACCAATTTTCTGGACAGAGAAGTGGAAGACCAGAGAGGCCAAGTCACATAGCAAGTCAGTGACATAATGGCAGACCTACCATTTCTCTTTCTCGTTCCCATTCTTTCTGCACAGTTCTCGCTAACACTATTTCTCTCCTGTAGTTTCTGAGAGTTTCTATATGTAGATATGTACTGAGTATCATATTTACAACTAAGATGTGGATGTATGTGCAGAGGTGTGTTGTACCACATCATACCAGATGTTGGTTGCTTCCAGAAGCAGGGGTCCCAGATGTCTGAAATGCAATTCAGTCAAACGATGGCGAAGAGTCTACAGGAAATAGCAAAAGTTTTGCATAAAATGAAAAGGCTGTGGACACCAAAGTCCTAAGGCTAGCCAGGCGTGGGTGGCTGCACTGTAAAAGGAAGCATGAGTCACTATGACCCATGAGTTCCCTCTGGTGCAGACTTGGCCAGTCTGGGCTGGAGTGTTCATGCCCTTGCGCCTTCTGCACCTGTTCCCCATGGGCACTCAGATATGGGGCTTCGGGCCCCTTGACCTTCTACCTGGTGTGAAATCCATCTCTCTTCTGGTGGGGCTTGTCAGACACCCTGAGCAGGGGTTTTGCTCCTGGAAACTGAGAAATGCAGAGTAGAAATGCAGCTTCTGGTACTGGTGCCCCAGACAGCCTGCAGGCTGACCTTCAGTGAGGTCATTTGATAAAGAGTAAGTTGGAATACCATAGGCTTATTTATCTTGATAGAAGTACTATTTTATTGGAGAAAACATCCTGCTATACAGAAGGAGGTATTACATTGGCCTCTGCATAGCAAGCTCAAGTTCTAAATTAAACTTAATTTGTGCCAATGGGGATTGCATCAGCTGGTTACATACACACTTGGTGCGTGTGTGTGTGCGCATGCACGCACACACACACACACACACACACACAATTCTGGTGATTCTTACCTTCTATGTTCTTGTTTTTCATCATAATGTTTACTATAGCAACAACTGCAAAATGCTTCTAGAGAATTCATTCCTGGTGTTGGGTGATATGCTTTGACTCCAGGGCGAGGTTTACAAGCTTCCCTCAACCTCACATATTTTCTGGGAATGTCCTCAGCCTCTGTTCTCACCTTGGCTTATGGCTACAACCTGAGACAGCTCCCAACACACCTCTGAGGCTGGTTAAGTCAGTTCACTTCTCTGGGCATTGATTGCCTTAATTCAGAGACAAGAATACTGACTTGAAGGATAAAAAGTTTAATAAAAAGAAATCCTTTCCAGTGTTAAGGTTCAGTGGCTACGATTTAAATTCTGCCTTTCTTACTGTGTCCAGTATAAAACTGGTAGAGTGACACCTCCCCAGAGCTCTTCAGTTATGTAGTGGCCCCTGAGGAGACAGACCCTGAGCCAGGCATTACCCACAATGCCTCATTAAGAGCTTCCTTCCTCCATCCAGTGGCCTCTATCTTCCCTCCTGTACTTGAAGGATTCCAATTTATAAGTATAAAGCTCTTTGAAACTGTACATGGTATCGTCACAGGGGACCTTAGTGTTGCCATATACTTTAATTCCCCATTGAACAAATGGACAAACAGAGGCCAAGAGACGTGACGTGTCCGAGGAACCAAAGCCAGCCAGTTGCAGAACTGGGATATACATTTATATCTCCTAACTTCGGGTTCAGTGCTCTTTCCACTGCACCTGGGTGCCTGTCATCAATTGGTTACAGGCTTCACAGGAATGGTATTCACACAGATGGCTTTATGCACTAGATCTTCTTTGGTAAGATTTCAAGACGAATTTCTATTTCAGCTCTAAAATATTTACACTGGGCATCAGGGGGTCCATGGACCCCTACAGCAGTAACAGGGAGCCTGACGGGTCAAATACGCCTCACCCCTCTTCCCCAGAGTTGTGGCCTCGGTAGGTTCTAGTGAACCACTTGCTGGAAAGACATGAACTTCAATCCTCAGAGTCTGGAATGGCCATATTGAGTGATGAGAAGGTAGAAAGACGTTTATTTTGTGAATATTTTGTTCTAGATCCCATGCTGGACAAAGCTGATCAAAGCTGGGACTTTGGGGACAGTCATATAGGATCCCATCCCGGTTCCATTAATGATTAGCTGTTGAATTTTGGGCTTCTCTGCTTTAGCTTCCACATTTGCAAAATGGATCTGCTGCTGCTGTTACCTACCTATGGAGGTTGTTATTAGGATGAAATAAATTAATATGTATAAAGCACTTAGGATAATGTCTGATACCTAGTAAGTGCTATATAGTGATTGCTGTTTCTATGCAAATTAAAAAATATGTTCACATGAAAACACATGTTTTGCCAGAACAAAATGACACACATTAAATATATTAGAATAGCTACCTATGAGAGAGAATTGCTACCTATATAAGAGAATTGCAAATCAGACAAACAAGAACAACCAAAGCAAGTGATTGCAGAGCCCTTGCTTTTCATCTCTACAGATATTGCTTCCTTGTTATCCCATTGTCAAGGTGAATAAACTGAGGCTAAGATAAAATATGTCAAGGCATCAAGCATTCATGCAGGGGCAGGAGGAGCACTTGGAAGGTGGTCTCCTGTACCAGATGGGAATTTTAGGCCTTTCTTTTTCATCTGCAAACTTCAGGATCTGCAGGCTGCCCATAAGTCATACTGTTTGAAGAACCTGTTCAGATTCTGAGCTTCTGCAGAGAGTAGAGTCAAGAGATGTGTTTTCCAGCTGCAGGAGGCACTGTCTGTGAGATCTAGAATGCAGGACCATGAACTTCATCAATAAGTTGTATACAAATAGGTAGCAAAAATGAAATTATAAAAGATTAGAAAAAAAAAACACTTTAGTACCCCCAAATAGAGGAGTAGCTAAATAAATTATGCTCCACTAGATCACAGAATATAGGCAGCCCACAAGATGGAATAATATTAATTACTTAGAAAAATATTCACTATATATCGCCATTTAAAACATAGATCACAGTGGGGCATGTAGAATGTGTGTGTATGTGTGTATATATATATATATATATATACAGACACACATACACACACACACATGCACAGATAAGTGGCAGTCAGGATGCATATATCGTAATATTAACAGTGATTATTTTGAACACGAGTTTTAGCAAGAGTTTTACTTTTGCTTTTATCTATATTTTCCAACTTTTCTAAATAAAACTGGGACTTTTATAAAGGAAAATAGTTTATTAAAAAATATCAGGAGAGGCACCAGGAGTAAAGGCTGTTTTCCCCCACGTTTATTGCTCTCGTCTTCTATCATCAGGTTGAAAATCATCTTTTCTCCTCCTACCAGGCTGATGCAATGGTACCCACCTTTGTGCAAAGGCAGTTGCTCTTGTACAAGGCTGTCCAAGTACAGATCCGTTGCGTTCTGGCTATTGGGTACGTACACAGTTACCACCTGGCATAGAGCCTGGTACAGGGGTATGTTGGAAATGAATGACTTAAATGAATGAGTATGGGCTCAATAACTTGGATTTGAATATGAGCTCTCTGCCATTTATAAGCTAGATGAGTCCCGCCTCCTGATCTGTAGAGTGACAATAACGATTGTGGGTCAAAGGACTGCCAATAGTTTTTGTAAATGGCCCAATGCCAGTCACAAATGGGTGGGAGTGCAGAGAGTTTATTATTATTGCTGCGTCTATTAACAGGTCCACAGCGTCCCATCCCTAAGGTCTCTTTGGCTCCCTAAGGCATCATGGTTACCATAGCAGCCAGATGCTGATGATGCCTCCAGGGGCAGCGAGGTGAGGCTGAGCCAGCTCCCGGGTCTTTGCCTCTGCATGTCCTTCACAGGCCAGAGTGAGATGGCCTGAAGCTCAGCCTCCTTTCAGGCCCCCCACCTGCCTCAGGTCACTTAGACCCACAAACCCTGCCTCCGCAGCCTCAGTTCGGGGCCTTCCAACACCCCTTTGAAGAGTCCCTCCTCCCCAAGCTCTGTCTCTTGGCGCCCTGCCTGGTTGCTGTGGAAACAGGTTCCACTGCGGACAAAGGAGGGAGCTGGGTCCTGCTTCCTCCCGGTCCTGTCGATGAGGATTTTTAGACCGTGGAAACTGCGCTGCCCTGCCCTACACCTGCCCTCGCTCTCCGTGTTCTCGCTCAAGTGGAGCCTGCCCTCCTTTGCCACTGACGAGACCATGTGTAAAAGCGTGACTACAGGTGAATGGAAGAAAGTCTTCTATGAGAAGATGGAGGAGGCCAAGCCGGCCGACAGCTGGGACCTCATCATAGATCCCAACCTCAAGCACAACGTGCTGGCCCCTGGCTGGAAGCAGTACCTGGAATTGCATGCCTCGGGCAGGTGAGTGGCCCGGGCAGTAGGGGCCTGGCAGGCTGGGGGCACCTTCCAAGAAGAAACAGAGATATAGAGAACCCAGATGCTTAGGGTCAGTCTCGCTGGGCCGGTATAGACTGGGAGGCAGAGAAAGAGTCCCTCACTGGGAAGTAGGATACTGGAGTTTCATTCCAGCTCTTCCTCTGCACTCCTATGTAACTTTCCCTCTCTGAATCCTGGCTACTGCTTCTGACGAAGAGGTGGGACATACTTACTAGTTCTAACCTCCGACATTTTACATATTTTCGGATTTGAATCCTCTAAATGGGTTGAAAACCAAGAGACGGGGGGCTCAAGGTCTATGGAGGTTGAGTTCTGTGCTCTGGTCCTGGGACAGTTGAATTTCAATCTATTTAATTTGGCCTGACTTAATATAAAATACTGAACACATGAGGTGTTCTAGAAACTGGCTCTACTATGAGCTCCACAGCCCTTGAGCAATTCATTTTCCTTCTTGGACCTCACTTTTCCCATTTGCGAAAGGAGAGGTTAGACTAGATCCCTACCTTGTGGGTCATGGACCAGCAGCACCAGCATCATCTAGAACTTGTTAAAGATGCAGAATCTCCAGTCCCGTTCTAGACCTACTGAATCAGAACCTGCATGTCAACAAGGTCTCTCAGTGATTCAGATGTACAGCAATATCTGAGATGACTTTCCAGCACTCTTGTCCATGGGTCTATTATGCAGGACTTCCCTTTGGGACAGAAGATGGGGAGGCTCCATGGTGCAGCGTGGGGGTCAGAAGCAAGGCCTTACTTCCTGCCCTGGTTCAGTCCATCCAATTCAATTCAAGAAAAATCTATTGAGCACTTGTTCCGTGCTGGCTACTGGCTCTGACTCTGGCTGTGTGCACGTGGAGGCCCAGCAGCAGTAACGGTGTCATTTTTCTCCTGATTTGGGTCTAGCCTGTTCACAGTCAGTGTTAACAGGTAAGACTGTGCGGACGGATGGTGCGTTTCCCAGCTGGTCCGGGCCATCCCCGCCGTGAGACTTAAAAGAGGTCTGAGCAGGAAGGACTCATCTGGTGCCCCCTGAACATTTTGCAGATGAGGAAATATCCCCAGAGCCAAAGCCCCAAGGGCAAGGCCTGAGGGCACTGGGATGCAGGAGGCAGGGGCCTCTGCAGCACACAGTCCTTTCCCCCTGCCTCAACCCCTCCCCGCAGGTTCCACTGCTCCTGGTGCTGGCACACCTGGCAGTCGCCACACGTGGTCATCCTCTTCCACATGTACCTGGACCGCGAGCAGCGGGCGGGCTCGGTGCGCATGCGCGTCTTCAAGCAGCTGTGCTACGAGTGCGGCACGGCGCGGCTGGACGAGTCGAGCATGCTGGAGGAGAACATCGAGAGCCTGGTGGACAACCTCATCACCAGCCTGCGCGAGCAGTGCTACGGGGAGCCCGGTGGCCAGTACCGCATCCACGTGGCCAGCCGCCAGGACACCCGGCGGCACCGCGGCGAGTTCTGCGAGGCCTGCCAGGAGGGCATCGTGCACTGGAAGCCCAGCGAGAAGCTGCTGGAGGAAGAGGCCACCACCTACACCTTCTCGCGGGCGCCCAGCCCCACCAAGCCACAGGCGGAGGCGGGTTCTGGCTGCAACTTCTGCTCGATACCCTGGTGCTTGTTTTGGGCCACGGTCCTGCTGCTGATCATCTACCTGCAGTTCTCCTTCCGCAGCTCTGTCTAAGATTCCCTTAGTGGGCGCAGGGGAACTCTTCGCGGCCCAAGGCCCGTGGGGGCCAGCCAGCTGGAGGGAGGGGGCAAAGAGAGACCTGGGGTGGGAGTGAGTTAAATTCTAGTGCCGGTGCCGCCACGGACTCCATGGGGACCCTGGGCAAATCACACGTCTTTACCATCCATAAAATCAAGGGTTTCTGAAGTGAAACCCAGGACCCCCAAGTTCTGCATAGCTGTTGCTCAGGGACTTTTGGATTTGGAAGGTAGGCCGGGGGAGTAGGGTTCCCATCCTGGTCACACTGTCCATTCCTGGCTCCTACTTCCTCATCTTGCCTTGATCAGAACATCTTGGAGTGGCATTTAAGAGTTGTGGATGCAGATAGGTTCAACTGCTTCAAAAGAAAAAAAAAAAAAAAAGCTTGACCATCACAGGGCTTGGTGATCTCAAAAGGCCTTTCCACAGTGATGAGCTCATTCTTGTGCTCTCTTGTCAACCCCAGGCCCCTATGGAGAAGCCTCCTCCACAACTCTGCCTCCCTGCACACAGCAGAACTTTCTCTTGAAGAGAAGAGGTGGAAGCATTAGGCTGTCCCTTTGCTGCTGGATGCACAGGGTTCCTTGGTTCTGTTCCCCAGACCCCCAGCTTCCAGCAGCCTCTCTCCACTCAGGATGGATTCTGAGGCCTGCCTGTCTCAGAGATGGTGGTTGGGGTAGAGTTCCATAGTCGAGGCTTCCCACCCATGGCTTATGAACTGACAGAGGATTTAGGGGAGGTTCGGAAGGTAGAGTGTTAGACGCAAGGCACAAAATCCCTAGGAAACAAATATATGACGCTCTGTTATAATGAAGAGTATGTAGAGTTCAGAGACCCAGCCTCACCGATTCTTCAGCAGTTCTGATGGTCATGACACCAGTGTAGGGGTCTGGCCTCCTGGGCGCCTTGCTGATATGCTAGTTGAGAGGCTTCCCTACTTTGGCCATGCATAGGCCCTCTCACCAACCATTAGCTGTCCACCTAGAACCACAGGGATGGGGTGTCATTAGCAAGAGAGGGAACATTAAAGACAAGAAGTGCTTTACCCATAGAGAAGTGCATAGATATGTGAGAGAACCTTATATCACTTTAAACTGGGATGCGTATGGTTTGGGGTGGGAGGAGAGACTTTCTGAGGGTACGGGTATGGATGGGGTTTGGGGGGAGGCAGAAGGCAGGAGATGGGATGCCACCCTGCACTTTCGAGGGTCCTCATTCACCTCGCCTCTGTTAACAACTTGATTCTTCCTGTGTCCCCTACCGATCCCCTTTTTAATGGCAAGTCACCACCATCTGTAGTGGTGGAAGGAGTAGGGCCACTTATATAAAGATGGGATACTTTAATAAAGACTGTATATCTTCAATCAGGCTTAGTAGTCATGAATGTGTGCTTGAGACTCACTACAACGTCCCTGATGTGTGGTCCCTGATATGTTAGACGCCCCCTGTCTGTCTCCTTCTTTCCCCTTTCTTGGGCTCCCATATAAGGCTAATCTAGCTCCAGCTTCAAGGTCTGGGCTGATCATGAAGGTCAGGAAGAATGCAGGCAGTGCTCAGTCAGTCATCCAGGGGACTCAGCCCAAGGCCGGTCGTACCCTTGCCCTTGCTGTAATTCTAGCACCTGGCTGCCGACGTCCTTTGCTTTATTCACACAGTGCCCATCCCTTTATCCAGGCCAAGTACCCCAAACACCCTCTGTCTGACAAGCCCTGATTTGGGTGCTGGGATCCAGTGGGCACTGAGACAGGCCTTGTCTCCCAGAGAGCCCTGCTTACTATTGAGGAAGTTCCTGGCCCTGGCTGTGCTTTCGAAATCCTGGGGAGCTTTTTAAGGAAATGTCTGTTCCCGGCCTCCACTTCAGTGCAACAGAATCAAAATTTCTGGGCATGAGGCCTGAGCATCTGAATTGGAATAAGACTCCCAGGTGGTCCACCTGCACTGCCTGGTATAAGGCCTTCTCGCTGAGGAACAGACTTCCTTTTGCACCGAGTCTTATCATGATGAGCCCTGAGGTCTCCCTTGATCAAGGCCCCGCCTTGGATTCTCTAGGACTAGGACTCAGCTTCCCTCTTACCCTCCTACTCTCTGTCCTGGGAACTTGACTTTCCCTCAAAACTCCTGGTTCCTGCCTGTCCTCTGCTATGATGGCTTTGTCCTGCTCTGAGAGTCTCCATCATTGAGCCCGACCACTCTTGCCAGATGCTTATCAAATTTTGTTACAAGTACTTGCTTATGGCTGTATTCCTTCCTGGAATGTGACCACAGTGTGGAAGTGGCTTACCTCAAGTTCCCTTGCCAGCTAGTGGCAGAGCAAGAAGTCCAACCCTCACCTAGTTTTAGTTCAGGCCTCTTTTTTAAAGCATTAGGCCTCTTCCTCCTCTGTAGGAAGATGTCTGCAACCCTCGGAGGCTTCCACTGTTTCCTTTATTGTTGTTGCTACAGATTGGGGGGCGGGTGTTGCTCACTGGCTTATGCTCATCTTGGCAAAGACTTCTCTGGGACAATCCTTCCTTTGTACACATTGCCCCGTGCCACATGATGAACTTGTTAGATGTGCCCTAGGCATTATAAATAAACTTCTCGGAGACATTTCAAGATCCCAGCCTCTCCCACTGGAGCTTCCGGGTACTAGTCTTGATGTTCAAGCCAGGAGCAGACCTACAGGCTCTGAATTGTGGCTCCAGAGGCTGAACTCCTCAGTGTGGTATCAGCATGAAGCGCAGCCTGGATCATTTCCCTCACTCACGGGACAGGGCCATCTCCATGGGAGAACACTTCCTGGGGGTCAGGAGCCCTAAGAACAAAGGAAATCACCAGCTCAGGACAATTTCCAACATAGTGAATCCATAGATCATCAGAGCTGTAAGGCAGATTCGATCTAGGGCCTTTATGTCATGGGTAAGGAACTTAAGCCTAGAGAAAGTAAGAAATTTGACCAGCGTTATATGCACAGAGTCAGGGAAGATGATTAATTCAAACTTCAGAAACAGGTTCTGCTACTTATGAGCTGTACAGCCTTAGGCAAATTACTTTAAACTCCTTGAGCCCCCTTTCTCTTCTCATCAAAATGGGAATAACACTCGTGCCTTGCGGAGCTATTGTGAGAAATAAATGAGGCACTGTCAGTAACTTTGCCTGATACAGAGCATAGGCTCACCCTCTTCCTTCTTCCCCTTTGCCTTTCATCTGGCAGCCTCCCCTGTGACTCCCTGAGGGGCTCTTTCTCTGTGATTTCAGCTCTGCTGGTAAATGTTTTAGGGGGGAAAGAAAAAAGCAAAGAAAGAAAAAAGAAAAAGGAAGGTAAGGGTTAACTCCTCCAGCCCAAGGCTGAGACCTGGTTTATTTAAACGTAATGTAGAGTCATTTCTTTTCTTCGTCTCAAATATATTTCAAAGCAGTGACTTCATTTTTCCAGTGGCATGGTAGCCACTCTTCATTCTTCAAAGAGAGCTATATAAAAATCACCCCAAACAGAAAACACCAGTGATTTCTGGGCTCTGTTCCCATTGGCTGAAATACCGCAAAAGGAATTTCATTCCATTCCAAGTCCCATTCTGGTTCTCTGTAGGACTCCCAGCTAAGGAAATTCCTTTGGAATCGTTTTTTGGCACGGCGTGGGTACTGCCACATGCACCAGGGAAATGAAATCCGCCTGTTGTATGGCTATTTTGTGACGAATCTTGTGAGGGTAGGCGGGTGGTGGTTGTGCTACAGAAAACTCATTGGCCTGGGATTTGGGCAACATGGGTCCCAGCTCTGGGTTAGATGTCATCGAGGCATCTAGGCTGCTGACCTTGGGTGCCTTAGTCTTTCCCCTCTCCTGGGTCTCAGTTTCCTCATTTGTGAAGCAAAGAAGTAAGGTGATCTGAAGAGCCCCTACTAGCCTTGACCTTGCTCATACACTGCAGCTTGGCCTTATTTGTCCTCACTCGTTTGGGGTGGCGCCTGACCCTGACCCATCTGGTGGGTCATGGAGTTCAGCACTTCAGTCTGACCAGGTGGGTTTGGAGTTTGATCCTTTTCCCCTTTCCTTTCTGGAGGCAAACTTTGAGACATCATACCCTAACTAGACCTCTCTGCAGTGATATTTGCATTTGAAAAGGCAGTTACCTTGAGAGGTGCTGCTTTATACAGGGACTTGCGTGGTAGCCATGGAATTTCAGTCTGTGTTGTCCCCTCACTTCTAAAATAAGCTCAATTGTTCTTCACTTCATCATAGTGGGGTTACAGTAACATTTTGAAGACATAATAAGATTTCCCCTGTTTCCAGGATTATTCATTCATTCAACAAATGTTTATTGGGTACATATTATACGTTGAGCATTGTTCTAGGCACTGTGGATAGAGCGGAAAGCAAAGCCACCAAATAGTTTACCGTATGCTTAGTAGAGGAACTGGGCAATAAACAGTCTGAGTAAGATGTGTGATATATTAGGGGCTGTTAAGTACTAAGGAGAGGAATAAAGTAGACAAGGGGGATAGAAAAGCAAGGACTGGAGTTACTATTTTAGATTGGGTAACTAGGGAGAGTCTCGCTAAAGAGGTGAACTGAGGAAGGGGGGGATGGTATGTGCAAAGGCCCTGAGGTAGGAGCAGCCTGGAGTGTTCAGCTGTGAGGAGACCAAAGTGGCTGGGGTGCAGTTCAGGCTTAGTAGTCATTACTAATAGGGTAACAAAGATTAGAGTAGTAATGGGGGTCAGACCATGTGTGTCACAGGGTATTGTCAAAACGTTGGTTTTTAATCTGAATGAGACAAGAAGTCAGTAGAGGGTCGAGCAGTGGAGTAATGTCATCTAATTTATCATCACCATGTTGACAAGACCATAGAGGAGTAAGAATAAAAGAGGGAGGATTACCTGGGAGGCTCCTAATCTAGGAAAAGAGGTGATTATGGCCTGTTCCAGTGAGGTGGAAAGTTGGATTGAGTCTGGGTATATATATATATTTTTTTAAGTTTTTTTTTTTCAACGTTTAT